GTGACCATTTTGTTTTAATTAATACTGTTCAAGAGCAATATCTCACAATATGGACAAGTACTCGTTTGACGATCAGAAACAAGATGACTGAATGTCAATCATTTCAATGTTAAAAAATCATCATAATCAAGCATCAGTCTCTGGATCCATATCTCTGACATGTTTATGTTCCAACTATATTACTATAAACAAAACTATATATCTTACGTTTGATAACTAACAGGGACTGTGACATGCATGGCTTGTTATATTCTGGATCACATTTGCCAAAAAGCCCAGCCCTTCCAAAATGTCATAATCTTGTCGCCACTCATTCATACTAGTAATATGCCTTGGTCTTGATTTTCTGGGCGCTGACATGGTCAAATGTGATATGTGAAAAAAACTCCCTATTCAGACTAGGTTCTGTCCATTTGTCTGTCTGATGTCATTTTGTAGACAGACTTTGTTTTTTTGATTTGATGACATTTGATTTACTGGCAGCCATTTTCAGCCTTTCAACACAATGCATTACCTTTGCTATTTTACACATGCAGAATTATTTCAAATTGGCATGAACATTACCTATAGGGTGTTGTAGGTATACTTTGATTTGTTTTGGTTCAAAATGACCAATTGGCAGCCATTTTTATTTTATTCTTCAAGTGGTCTTCCCCATGGTATTATTCCCAATTATTATGGTCAGGTGGTTAAAATTTAGTCTGAAGAATGTGTATGTCATCATATTGTATGTGTTATATATTTGACATTTGTAGATGTCCCCTTATCTTATGGAATGTTACAGTTTTATGTGTTATATATTTGTAGATGTCCCCTTATCTTATGGAATGTTACAATTTACAAGAAGTCCTAGTGCACTCAATGCTGTTGAGTTTATATGGGATCCCACAAAAGAAAGCACAGGTGTTTTTATTCAGGTAATCTCAAACTTTATTCTATTGAATTCAATGCTGTCATGTTAATTAGGAATTAGGAATTATTGTACATTCTCTTATTTCCATATTTCAAGAACCACTCATTCGATTTCAATGAAACTTGGTACATCGGTCCACTGGGATGAAGCACGTTTTGTAAACTTCAAATGTATTCTTTTTAGTCCCCGTTCGGATGAAGTTCGAAAACGGGGACTTATAATTTGATCCCCGTGCGTCTGTCCGGAGTCATATCTCAGAATCCCTTGGACTGATTTTGTTCATTCTTTGCATGTGCCTAGTACTTTATGTGGGACGTATGCACATGCAGTGGTTTAGCGATTCGATTCAAAATAGCCGACTGGCAGCCATCTTGTTTTTTGAAAATGTCGTATTTTGGACATGCTTTATCAGTTTTCATTCAAATATAGTACATAGATCATACATGTTAGGATACATGTCCCCGACCGTCCATGAGTTCCTGAGTCTGTCCGTCTGTGTGTACGTCCGTCTGTCCAACGTCATATTTCAGAATCCTGTGGACCGATTCCGTTCATTCTTTGCATGTGCCTAGTACCTTATGTGGAACATATGCGCATGCAGTGGTTTAGCGATTCGATTCAAAATGGCCGACTGGCAGCCATCTTGTTTTTTGAAAATGTTGTACTTTGGACATGCTTTGTCAGTTGTCATTCAAACTTGGTACATGGATTATACATGTTAGGATACATGTCCATGATGATTTATTTCGCAATTGGATCAAAGATGGTCGACTGGCAGGTATCTTGTTGTTGTTTTTTATGCGGTATCTTGGATGTGCTCTGTCACTTTTCATTAAAATTTGGCACATTAGGATGCATGTCCATGACAATTTGTTTCAAAATCTGGTCAAGGATGGCCGATTGACAGCCATCTGACTTTTTGGCCTTACTACTATATTTCCACAATTTATGTACCATTTTCATTCGTATTTGGCACATACATCATACATATCAGTGTGTTTCATAATCAGTAGTCCAGTGGATTTAGGGTTTGACCCGGAATAAAATAGTACATTAGCGAATTTTGTTTCAAAAGTTGGATAAGGTCATTGACCAAATGACCAAAAAAACCCCCAAGACCTAAACCGTTGGGCAATTTTTTTTAGAGCATGTTGAAGATTTATTGGTTTTTAGCACTGATTTTACCTACCGCGGATATTCAACCATGCAATAACCTCTAATTACCATTGAAATGTATTACTTTATAACTACAATATTTTAAAAACAATGAATGAAATATAAATCTGCATCTGTAACAGATCACTTCAACATGCATGATGACGTCATATACATGATGACGTCACTTCTGACGTCAGAAGTCCGTTGACCTTGTGAAGCCGATGTCTTTTAAAAGCTAGTAGTCCAGTCAATCTAATTTGATTTTTGGTCAACCCGGACAAAATTCCAACAGAAAGTTTCTTTGCAGATTTAGCAACAATGGACATCTATAAACATGATATCATGATATTGATATTGCCCATATAATGGAAATATTAAGCCATTTTATTGATGCAGTAAGACGTACATATACACATGCATATGGGATAATAATGGTCAATATATCCACATATTTATTACACTTACCACAGTTATCATATTTAGTCAGCCAAACATTTTTTGCGCATGGTGAAGCAAATAGCCATCTATATACATGTACAGCGCCACCAAGTGGTGATATTTTCAGAAATATACAGGGTCTGGTATTAGTCTAGTTTCATTGGCATTTTGTCAATATAAATTCTACACAATATGAAAAACTGGATTATTGTTCATATATCATTTTCATTATTAAAAAACAAAATTTCAGAAATATTTGGGGCATATTTAGATCCATCATTCGCCAAATCACTATGATACTTTGCTGCAACTCCCCACAAATTATACATCTGCATAAAAACACACATGTCAAATGAATCATGTTTATCAAAGTATATGTGATTGTATCATGTAAAGATTGGTGATACAATGGTAATATATATGAAGGACATTTCACAGTTACAGGCATGTGGAATGTGGCAATGATCACATATTGAAGGGGGCTCATATCAAGGTTTGATGTGGTAATATCAAAAGAGTGATTGGCAAGACTTGTGAGATATCGATTATATCAAGTTTGTGGTAGAATGAGAAGTTACAAACTAACATGATCAGACTTGTGTTTTGTCATACCTTCATTCTGTTTGGGATTGGTATGAAAATA